GAAAGACAATTTATCCATAGCGGTGGTGATTATGCGAACGCCGGTACTAGTGGCGACACGCGCGCGGCAGAACTCGTATGGCGAGAAATCGACGCCGGGTTCGAAACGCGAATAATGACCGGTGCGGTAATTAATACAGACCATATAGAACCGCGACAGTTTTTGGAAGATGCCTGCAGCGTCGTGTGCAAGCGAGTGCGAGACATTATAAAAACACATAAATGTGTCAAAGTGAACACCGCGTTTAACGGGGAGTTTGTGGCGGGTGATAACCGTTGTGCCAATAAGAGTATATGTACAAATAACATAGAACTCTGTGGTACATCGCACTTGCGCGAGTGGTACGAGCTACATGTTATCGAGCCCACATTAGCGAAACTCGGAGTTCCAGGAACGCGACAGTGGGTGGGCGTTGACTCGAATCCTCAATTTGACGGTGAGCGTCAACAAGTACAATCCTTTGCGCGCGGGGTGTCACTTGGAATTGCCTAAAGACATTAAAGTGAAGCACGCGGTGATCAATGTGCGATCAATGGACAATGCGTGCTTTGCGTGGGCCGTGACGGCTGCTTTGCATCCAGCCGAAAAAAATTCAGAACGGGAATCATCATACCCGCATTATTCAACGGTACTGAATTTACAAAACATTGAGTTTCCAATGACGTTGAGTCAAATTAAACAGTTCGAACGACTCAACGATCTATCCGTTAATGTCTATATCATCGAGGGACAGAAAACTTCAAACGTTCTCCCGATACGGCTTACCGACCGCACGATTGATAAAAAACATGTGAATCTGCTGTACATGCAGGACCCACGAGACGACAATGTTGGACATTTCGCGTGGATTAAACATCTATCCCGTCTCGTGAGCTCACAAATTAATAAACATGGACATACAAAGTACTTTTGCGATCGGTAAGTACCTATACTTTTATTAATAATATATATCATTTTATATTTTTTTGTAAAAAAATTAATAATATTTGTGTTTCTTTTTTACAGATGTCTTCACTACTTTAGTTCGAACATGAAATTGGAAGCCCACACCGTGGAATGTCGAAAGGTAAACAAATGCGCAGTCCGACTACCGAGCGAGGACAACAAGTGGCTCAGCTTCAAGAACCACAGCAGGAAAGAGCGACTTCCTTTCGTGGTGTACGCCGATCTGGAGTGCGTGCTGCAGAAGACACAACCGGATACGGAACACGCGTCATACGCCTATCAACATCATCGAGTATGTAGTATAGCATACTACGTACAGTGTTCGTACGACGAAACGTTATCGACGTATCGATTTTGTCGCGATAACGACTGTGTCGCGTGGTTCGTCGAGGAACTCAACGGA